CCCCCCCCCCCATTATCAGTAGTAATGACTCAGGTCTGTCACTGTGGTCAAACCTGTGGTCACTGCGGTCTGAATATAAACGGCCAAGCCAACCATGATGAAAATATTGGTGTGAACTTCCTTTGAAAACCACATATTACTGGTGTAGATGTAGGTACACTGATAAATGATATCTGAACGACCTGTTTTCAGTTTGCAGTTTTGTTCTTTTTGAATTAGAATACATTGATTTTAGGAGTTTTATTTTGCGCTATACTAGACACTGCTTATAGATAAACTACCGTTCAAAAGTTTGGGGTGAGGAAGATTTATTTATTTATTTTTTTTAAATAAATCTATACTTTTATTCAGCAAGGATGCATTAAATTGATCAAAAGTGGCAATATGTCTCATGGTTTCCACAAAAATATTTAGCAGCACAACTGTTTTCAACATGTTCAGAAATGTTTATTGAGCAGCAAATCAGCATATTAGAATGATTTCTGAAGGATCATGTGACACTGAAGACTGGAGTAATGATGCTGAACATTCAGCTTTGCCTTAAAATATATTAAAATAGAAAACGGTTATTTTAAATGTCACATTATTACTGTTTTTGCTGTGTTTTTGATCAAATAAATGCAATCTTAACTCCTGAAACAACTATTTATTTATGTAATTTGTCACTAGTACTGGTGTTGACTACTGAAGTTTTGGAGTTCATAGTCTGTACTGTGTGTGGTTTGATTTGATCCATGAGCTGAGGCAGGAATCGATTTCTCTCTGTCATGGTCTCATTGTGTTCTCTGAGGGTCTCTTTATTCCTGTGCTGGCAGAGATCTCAGGGTCAGCGTTTCCATTCTCCTTCAGAGCAGCAGCTGCTGTCTCCTGTTAGATGAAGCACCAGTCAGGGTCAGAGACCTACGACAGACTTCTGATGCGCTGGAACTCATGAAAATGCCTTTCTTGTAGATTGTGTCACTACTGAAGGAGGAAATCTGCACCATGGAGAAGGAGCACAGCGACCTCCAGCTGCACATTTCACGGACGGACTGCTGGTGTGAGAACCTGGGCACCTGGAGAGCCGTCGTCAACACCGCAGAGGTCAGTCCTGAATACTCTACAGGAAAACATTCCGGGTTAAATACAAGTTTAGCTCAAGCAACAGCATCTGTGGCATAATGGCAGTTAATAGGGGGGTGACGAGATCTCGTGAGAACGTGATGATATCCTCGCGCTATTGGCATGATGGAGTGTGAGGGAGAAGTAAAAATCGAAGATGGTCCCGCCTAGGCATGGGCCGATTACCGGTTTCAAGGTATACCGCGATTTGAAAATGTCACGGTTTAAAAACCGCACATATTTACCGTTCCTGCGGTATGCACTGTTTTTCATGTCTCCTCAAAGACTGAAAGTGTAGGAATCCTTCAGGTTGAGTGCAGTGTAGAGAGTAACACGACCCTCCTCCTTCTGTTGGTGCGACCGAGCGGTCAGTCACGTGTGTGCAGAATGGACAAACTTAAGAAGCTTCCCCTGGAATTTACGCGATCGGCAACTGGCTGTTTTTTGTCTTATTGCAACTCATCTCTGTTCTGGACTTGCACAAACTGCGTTGCAGTGCAGTCGTTTTCCAAAATGTAATTTATGTGAAAATAGAGGCCAGAGACGCTGAAGACGGACGCACAGAGAAAAATACTGTAGCAGGCAGATCACTCACTGCATATTAAAGCAGTGTTTCAGTGCAGTGCTGCTTTGTTTACAGTGGTAACCAAGGAAACGCCGTATCTGGTGTTCCAGAAGTACCTCCTGCTGTCAGAGAGTGAATCTGCGTCTCATTCAGAGCATCTGCTGTTTGTTTCGTTCAGGCATGTAGTATAATTTCACAAAGCTAGTCAGAACATTCTGTTTTTGCTTCAAATTGGGTTATTATTAAATCAAATTATGTATATGAAATTATATAACTAAATGATATGAAATTATATAAATGATATGTATATGAATTATATAACTAAAATTAAATAACTGTAATTACAGATTTAGGTTTAATAAAGACGTCAGTCTTTATTTTTCTACTTTTTAGGAAACACATCAAAGAAAAAATAATAATAAAAAAATACTGTTCCTAATATTCTGTATTTTGCTCAAAAATAAAATATATTGTGTTCAGTGGAAAAAAAGTTTCATTTAAAAATAACACATTTTAGAGATGTAACGACAATACTGTGATACCGTGATATTTTTGCTTAAGGTTATCATACCGTCAAAATCTCATACCGGCCCATGCCTAGTCCCGCCACATTTAAAGTTGAAGTGAAGCAGTCAGTCAGCGGTACTCGCACGCTGATCGATCGTTTCTGTGCGCACGCGCGCAAAAAGCCGCAGCTCAGACAGCATATGCGAGAACCAAATTGAGATCTCTTTAGCGCCTTCTTGACCAAATGCACACAAAATTATATTAGAATCATGGTCTTGACGAGTATCCACGTAAACACATGTTGTTTCCGACCCGCTCTTCACCCCAAACCAGCAGGTTCACGACGACTTCCACCCGTAACGTTAGTACTGCTCAGTTCCCTCGCTGTATCGGCTCAAATGCATAAGCAATTGCACGTATTATGAGCTCAACAGTCCTTTTAAGTTCGTCTTCCTCAATTTCAAAACAAGTGTGCGTGCAAAAAGTAAAGAAATGCTTATATTACTTCACTGGCCAACGGAGCAAACCAACCCCGTGACGTCACACGCTGTGGTACTGCAAGATGGCGGCGCTCTTGCTCCAAAATCGAGGACAAAACATCCCTTTTTCTTTAAAACGGTTACATTAATCCAGTCATTCTTGAGACATGGGACAAAACAGGTCCAGCAAGCAAATCTATGTTTCTTAATGTCCTCTCACTACATCTAAAACAGTGTGTCCACAGAGAAGGGTTCAATCATTCATATGCAATAAAATGGATAAAAATGTTTTTTTTTTAATTATGAAAAATTAAAATTGTTTTATCAAAAGCAACACTTAATAATATCTCCTATCAAATGCAAATGCACACATGCATGTTTAATATGATTTTAAAGTTACGTCCCCACTTTTTGTCAACACCGTCAGTGTAATCTGTCTGCTAACACGAGAATGTGTTTTGAAATGTTAAAAACATCTTGAATGCTGTTAAAGATAAAGCTGAAATTATATTACAAGCTAAAAAAAGCACATTTTGTTAAAAAAGAGAAAAGTTGGGAGGTTGTATCAAAGCATATCTCAGTAGTTTAGTACATATAAGATACATAAATGTAGTTTCATTTGTCTGAGTACAAGGTTTTATTTTTTCAATTTTGCACCCTGTTTTGTCCCACTTCTCAAGAATGACTGAATGATTTCGTGTTTATTATATATATATATATATATATATGAAGAGTTTGGTTCCAAAACGCGATAAACGCCATTTTTAAAAAAAATGTAGTTTCCGCCAAAATCAGTATTGTATCTGGTCGGTATTGAAAAGTACATTTTTAATTTTACGCAAAATGCGATATCCACTGAGTTATTCTGTCATGTTTTCTCCCTTTTTTTCCAAACCGTGACAAACGCCAGTCTCCTTTCTCTGCAGAATGCGATATATCCGCTCAATTTTTCAACAGTAGGTTTATGTGAAGATTGTTTTAAGTTCACTTAAATTAGAAGTTATTTTTTAAAGTCTAATAAATGTTAAAATTGATAGCTCTCAGTTATACTGTAATGTTGAATGGCTATAGTCAATGGTTAAATATTGGGGGGTCAATTTTATAGAGAAATCAGTATTGGTATCATTGATACTGGCCTTCAGTCATAAAAAAAAGATGCCAACCACAGGAATTACATCAGAAACACAAAGTACTTCTGCTTCAAAAGAATGACATTTTAAGAATCAAATAAATATTTTAACCGCACAGTGCAACAGGGACATAGTAACAGTGTTTTCACACATTCTGACTTCACTGTTACAGTCAGTTGTTACATTTTTGCAATTGTTACATTGTTACAATCAGTTGTTACAGTTCTGTGATCGCCACCGCAACATATTGTAACATCATTTGCCTGATTGTCTGTGGTGGTTTATTTGGCTGTCACAACATTCTTTCCTTAAAGCCACAGTGGTTCATTTCCTGTGTGTTTGACTCTTTTACAAACAGTCAGTAGATCTTACGCAGTCCTGCGATCCTCCTTAATCATCTGTCTTTCAATCTGTTTAACTTCACAAAGCATCACAATCTCAATAAAGTCTCAGTAATAACCGTGTCAGTGCTCTTAGAGGAATTTTCCAGATTATTCTGAAGCTGTGCGACTGATCTATATACTGTAGCATGTCAAGAACTAATGCGGACTGACAACTGAAGTCAAATCTGATGCAACGTCTTTTGACACGCCATATTAGAATCGAACAACAAATGAAATTTGAGAACTGTTTTCATCATTTCAAATCATATTTTTTTTTCTTTTGTGAAAAAAAAAAATCTTATCCTAATCTTTTCACCTGTGTTTTTATATTTTTAATATGTAGAGTAATCTGAGTATTTTAATTAACCGTCGCTGTTCTGTGTAAGTAAACAGCTGGTTGTGAGGAGCCCCATCAATAATTTTTACTCTTTTTTTTTTTTTTTTTGATGATTAACAGCACACCATTTGCATATTTCTGCTCAGGAGTGAGTCATTCGGATATTAGCGATTTATCTGTTAATTGGCTGTAAGATGATACACAGCTTCAAATAAATCAGTTGCTTCAACTGGTTTCAGCTGAAGTGAAGCTGTTATTGTTTTCATGTCGTCTCAGTTCTGGCCAGAATCAGATCCATTACAGTGTGCAGTAAATGTAAATGTTGAATTTGTAAATGTAAATCTGTCCTAAAATATGAAATGTTCCATTAAACAAACAATATATATTTAAATATAAATATAATAATATCAATTAGAATTTTTTTGAGGGTTAGGGTCATCTCACAAACTGACAGGAAACTTATTGCAGGAAATGTATTTTCGTGAACATTTTCAAACATATAGAGTTTTGTGTTTTCTAAATATTTAGCCATTGTTTCGGAGTCAAAGGCTTCATTTGTTGCGTTTATGTGAATCTCGTAGGCCTCTGAGGAGAATGGAGAGCAGATGGCGTGCTACTTTGTAGCCGTGAGCCTTTCTGAAGACGACGACTGCAAGAACAACCGTTGGACGGTCTCCAGGAAGCTCTGCGAGTTTCAGGCTTTGCACAGGAAGCTGACGGAGGTACAGATGATATTTACAGTAGGCTGCCACACCTCTGATGTGTGATATCGTGTGCTGGTGTAGCGTTTCAAATACCACTGATCCGTCGTCGTGTTGCTGTGGCAATCATCATAGAGACACATCATGTCGTTGTACATTATTAGTTCTGATACACATTATGCATGACAGAACACAAACCACAGACTGGTTTTTATACACCGTTTATCCTTATTTCCCTTTTGCTTTTGCAGTGTTTTCCGTCACTCAAGAAAGTCCAGCTTCCCTCACTCAGTAAACTGCCGTTCAAATCCATCGACCAAAAATTCCTTGACAAATCCAAAAACCAACTTAACACGTTTTTACAGGTGAGTCTTCCCTAGTCTCATTGGAGCCAGACTTGTCAGCATTAAATAAATGGTGGAAAATGCCTGTAGACTTTGTGTTCTGAAATTCTTTCCATCAAAAGTAATGCGTCTCCTCTAGAGCTTCATAGAAGATCTCAGCGGGGTCTCAACCTGAGCACAGCTCATTAAAATCAGCATTCTCTCCATAGGGTTCAATTCAAAAAATAAATTTTTTTCGCCTCATATTCTCAATTTTATTATCTGTATGTGATGAAAGTTCCATTGTGATGTCAAAACAAATAAAGAATGTCAAAGAATGTGCTAGTAGAAACAAATAACCATTGACTTGTGTGTTTTTTAAAATTAATTAATGAACCTTTTCATGAATTTCCAGAACATTTTCAACATATTTTTTAAACACAAAATCTGAATTTAAAATACATTTTTGAGTCATGAATTTCAGAAAGTTTTCTATATTTGACGTGAACAAGGCCAAAATATGTGACGTTTTAAACACTTAATGACCTTAATCATCTCATTTGTTTTTTTTATTATAAATATTAATAACATTTTAAAACAAAATTGCTTAATAGTAAACAAAAGATTATGCCAAATTCTACTAATGCCAACCATTTTAGTTTTATTTTTCATTTACTGTATTTTATAATTTCATTTAATTTTATATTTTTTATATTTATTACATTTATACCACCATTTTTCTTCAAGCACTTCAAAAATATCAAAATGACTTTATATCAGCACCATATCTGTTACCGACTGATACTGGCTTTGTTTTCCATTCATCTTTATTGGATATTTAATTTTTTACACCAATTTTTTTGATATGATGACATATTTAAGACATATATCATCATCTAGCTCTAACTAAAGATTTAAATGTTTGAGATTTAAATCATTATCATGCTTACTATGCATACTAAAGCTACTCTCCACTGTGTCAGTTTACTTTGAGCCACCGTCACATTTCAGACCTCTGATTAGTAAATGATGTACAGCGGGAGTGTATGCTTGGCCAAGCACTTGTATCTGTGTTTCTGTATATTTCTGCTCTCATTTGATTCAGGGCTGTGATGTTAAGAATTGTATTTTTAGATTCATGAAGTTTTAGTCTGAATGTGTGTGTTTCCTCTGTAGAAAGTGTTGACAGATGAGCGCATGTGTCAGAGTGAGGCGCTGTACGCGTTTCTCAGTCCGTCACCAGAGCAGCTGAAGGTCATCGACATCCAGAAGAAATCCTCCTTCTCTCTCGCATCCTTCTTGGAGAGACTGCCGGGAGACTTCTTCTCACACCAGGAGGTACACACACACACACACACACACACACACAGACACACACACACTTTTTTTAATACACGCACACACACACACACACACACACACACACACACACACACACACACACACACACACATACATTGTCTTAGCTATCTTAAAGGGGTCATGAACTGGCTTTTTTTATTATCTTATACTGTTGTCTGAGGTCAACTTATGACGTTCGCTTGGTTTTTACATTCAAAACATCCAAATCAATAAGTAGTAGGCTATTTTCTACCTTGGTTTTGAGTCCGGCTTGAGAAACGCTCAGTTTTATGGGCGTGCCGCACTGAAGACTTGGAAGTAAACGCCCACTGCTATGATTGGACAACAGTATTGCATAGTAAACTAACTACAAACTAACTTCATAGTTGGAGCCTTCTGTGACTTTAGACACATACACATAATCAGGACATTCAAGCAATCTCTAAAAAAGCAATAGTGACACATAGTACAAATATTTTTTACACACATAAGTGTTCGGCGCCATTCCTGTCGGATCCAATATAGACGGCTCAGCATTGCTTTTTAATCTCAGTCTCTCTGCAAATCCAGCATCGACCTGTGTCTTGTTTACAAAGGAATCCGCAGTGAAATGAAGCGAACAAATGCTCATTGTTTTACGCACGAGCTGAAACTTCATTAAAAATAAAGTTCAACCACGCATTCCTAATATTTGAATCCGAAGGAAGGTTATGCAGCGACTGTGTTCCTCCACATCCAGGAACTGCACAATATTTTGCGATCTTCAACGGCATGTTTATTGCTTGGTTGCTTGATCCGGTTTACCGCCACTTACATTATTTCCCTACTATGTCATGCGTGGATCAGTGGGCGGGGCTACAGAATTAGGCGTTGATATTCTTCTGTGGAGGTGGTGTTTAACCTGTCATAGATTCGCTGTCCTTTCGCTGGGCCTGGTGTCAATAAAAGCTTTTATTTCAGTAACAAGGACATTTTGAGTTCTGAAACTTACAGGATATTCTTTTAGTACGATGATCTCTTATATCAAAAGCTCAAGTAAAAGTTGATTTCTCAACTCGTGACACCTTTAATGTGGACATTCAATAGACTTATATTGTTTTTACAGATAATTATGAGCAATCACCCTCACAGAAGACTTGCATTTGAAAATATGAATTGTTCTATTAATAGTTATTGTTCTTACAAATGAGGAAGTCTCCGAATGTCCTCAAAATGAGGTTTTGTCAGATTTAGCTCACGTCAGTCTAGGTACACATTTGTCTCACACACACACACACACACACACACCTGCTGAATACATGCTTGTATAATATATAAAAAAATAAATAAAATTAAAAATATTATGAGTGAAAATACTGAGCGAAATTAGTTTTTTCAGCTGTGCTAGCGAAAATGTAAACATGCTTATAACGTCTCGGTTACGTATGGTAACCCCCGTTCCCTGAAGGAGGGAACGGAGACGTCACGTCGGAGGCAACGGAACTCCGCCCCTTGAGGAAACGGAGCTTGGCCCACGACTCCAAGATGATCATCTTCCTGCAATGAAAAGATGACTCATCCACAAACGCCAACTCAGTGTGCTACATGCCCAGGCGCGTGAGGCAGCGATCGTGACCATCACCCAGCGCCAGGTAACGACCGCATCCAGAAACACCCGGGTGATACGTTGTCTATAGCAAGACCCACATCGTCTTTACAAAGACGTAACGTCAAGTTTGCCACGCAACGTCATCTTTAAAAAGACGCACCCGAAACTGCTCTTTTAGGGAAAAAGCTCTTTTAGCGTACTGAGGCGCACAGGGGAGATGATCATCTGCAACACAAACGGGGTAGTGCAGCCTGATGTGTGCAACCCACTCGACACGGGAAACCACCATCGCTGAAGCGCCGTACCGCCAACACCAAGAGCTCTCCAAGAGCGCGCTGAACTCGTTCAGTCTTCTTCTCTCAGTAGAGTAGTCAGGAGTAGAACGAAGTGATCGCTCGGCTCCGAAGCGAAAAGCTGAATATGCGCTGCATCTGCTGCCTACTTATACTCGCGCTGTGATCAGCGGCAGCTGGATGCAATAATCGCATGCCAATTTGCATTGGCTCGTTTAGTTTACACTCGAAGTAGATTGGTCTCTCTAAGCGAGATCCCAATTCGTCGGTCATCCGACGTGACGTCGAGAGTGACCGACTGAAAGGGAACAACATGGACTTACTCAAGACTAAAAGTAGCATAACATTATTATCTATGAAATTTTGTAAAAAAAAAATTTGTAACAAAACAGGATAAAAAACTATTTGCTTATAGCATAAGAAAAATAACCCTGTTTTCCCCAATTGAATTAATTTTTGTTTTAATTATTTATTTTTTGTATAATTTTGTATAATATAAATTTTTTTTTCCTGCAAATAAAACAAGACAAAATATCGATTAACACTTTAATATTTTGCATAACTCTTACACTGCAAAAAAAACATTAATAAATAAAAAAAATACAAAATACAAATACTTCCTCAGTATTTTTGTCTTACAGTATTTTCAAGTACAAGCATCTAAAAATACTTAAATCAAGATACATATACTTAAGAAGCAAATTATAAAGATATTAAATCAAAATAAAAAATGAAGTGACTTTATGCTTAAACCAAGAAAAAGGTACCTTAAAAATCTTAAAACTAAATTAGAAAATATTTTTGTTTTAGTGGTTTTACTGGCAGATATTTTGCTTTTGTTTTAAGTCTAAAGTCACTTGATGTTGATACGTTTTTCAGGAAACACGACTTGCAAACTTTTGTTATTTTGCTTCTCATGTAAATGTATCTTGATTTACAATAAGAATGTTTAGATATTTGTTCTGAAAAACAAGACAAAGAAAATCTTTTTTTTGCAGTGCATTAAATTATATTAAATAAAATAATGAACATTTCAGTGATCCACTAAAATTATCCATTGAAGACTACATTTAAAGGCACATTTGATTTGACTGACACCATTCACCAAACCACTAAATGACGATCATAAAAAGCAGCAGAGATTTGGCACAGATGTCAGGTGGGATGTGATGAATCTGATTGTGTGTCAGGATGAAGGTGAGGATGACAGCGACCTCTCAGACTACGGCGATGAGACAGACGGGAGGAAGGATGCGCTGGCTGAGCCCTGCTTCATGCTGATCGGAGAGATCTTTGAACTCAGGGGCAGTGAGTACAACACACTGCTGAAATGATGCAATGTGTGCAGTCAGACTGTGACAGTGTGAAACTCATCAGATCACAGACCACAGGACAGTGTTTCTCTAACTGAAGTGCACATGTCTGCTGTCTGCTGCTAAAGGCTAGTGCACAGCACCCAACACATAAATGTTGCTTTATAAAGTCATACTACAGGAAAAACAAAACACTCTGATGCTGAATTGAAACACTAATGCAAGTATAGTACATTACCAACTTTATTTGATCTAGAAATATTGAAATTTTGATATATGAAATAATAGTCTGGCATTTTTTTAAATAGTCTACATTTTTTTTTTAATTGGAACAGTTTATTGAAAGTCCTGAGAAAATATAAAAAACTCAAAATGTAAAAAAAACTAAAAAAAATAAAAGTATGATATATAGTAAGCATATGGAGCTCATACTCGAGGAAGAAAAAAATCCTACATTTTATTCAGAGGCCCAATCTGAGCAAAAATGTGAAAAAAGACACACGAAGCACAAGCTGAACCATCATTATAAATGTCTTCACTGTCACTTTTGATCAATTTAATGCATCCTTTGCTAAATAAAAGTATCAATTTCTTTCTTTCTTTCGGAGTCAGAAGGTTTCTGATGTTACTTGTGTGTTTTCCTCTCTGCAGTGTTTAAGTGGGTGCGGAAGACACTAATTGCACTAGTTCAGGTCACGTTTGGACGGACTATAAACAAGTAAGCATTAATGGATGGACATAACGGAAACTTGCTAGACAAGCTCATTGAGTTGATCTTTCTCTCTCGTCCTCTGCAGGCAAATCAGAGACACTGTAAACTGGATCTTCAGTGAGCAGATGTTGGTTTACTATATTAATATATTCCGGGACACGTTTTGGCCCAATGGGAAACTTGCGCCTCATAACAAAAGCCGCTCGGAGAGTGAACGCAGAGAAACCAAGGAGAGAGCACAACAGAAGCTTCTAGACAACATCCCAGGTGAGCAGAAATATGAAACTGATGAGTCCAAATGAATGCATGTGTGGCCATATTTTTGATGACAGCAAAATACATGAATTCACCTCCAGATACTCTCGGAAAATACTGAACAGTGTTATTTTAGTATACTATTATAGTATTTAATAATATTTTGAATAATTTTTTATATGTTCAGTTTTCATTTTAAATTTAGTTTAGGTTTTAGTAACTTTGTGCTTTTGTCTTCAAATTTCTATTTAGCTTTATTTTTATTTCCGTTTTAGTCATTTTAGTACTTCAGCTTATTTTATTTCAGGCAGTTGCCAAGGCATTTCAATTTGTATTAATTTTATTTATTAATACATTTTTTCAAGGGGTTTTTGTTTTTTAATTTGAAGGTTTTATTTGATTTGATCTATGTTATTATTTTTTCCCCAGCTTTATTTCAGTTAACGAAAATGATTTTTAATAGCATCACTGAAGGGAAAAAAAAGCACCATAAACACTTCTATTATAAAAAAAAACATTATGGCTATTATGAAACACTGAAATAAAAAATAAATGTTAAGCAGTCGCTAACAACCTTTAAATATTGAAGCCTCTACCATTTCAGTTGTTTGTTTCTAGTAACAGAAGTCTTTTTTTATATATATATATATATATATATATATATATATAAAATATGAGTCATCATTTTTTTTTGAAGTTGGAACCTTGTAATTACAATAATCCCTGTCACACCATTATTGTTGTTGTTGTTATTATTACTATTAATTTTACTTTTTTACAGCTATTGTTATTATAAACAATAGGTATGAAAAGGCAGTACTACCTAGTTGACCATTTGTAAATATATATATATATGAATTAATATTGTTGAAACACTTTTTTAAATTCAGATGAATACAAAAACTAAAAGGTTTTATTTTGTGCTAAAGTGCGAGGCTGTTAATGTAAAAGGCTTCATGGCTGTTTCTGGCTGCTTGGTGCTTTTTAATTAGAGCGGGACACTTAAAACCCACTCCTGCGAGAGCAATTACACCAGCCTGAGCTCAGAGCGCTTCACTATACTGCTTCACTCTAGAGCTCCCAGAAGCCCACACCACAGAGACCAGCAACGATCAAAACTGCTTTTTAATGAAGATTTCATCTCTCATTTGGAAGGTTAGACAGTAGAGTCTGTGTAATAAGAGCAAAAATTGTTGTTTTTTTGTTTAGACGCACTTCAGAATCTCGTGGGGCAGCAGAACGCGAGATATGGGATCATCAGGATCTTTAATGCACTTCAGGAGGCCAGTGCCAACAGACATCTTCTCTACGTAAGTCACCCAACGCTCTGCGACTGACCGTTAACCCGGCTCCAGTTTGTTTATATCTCAGGCTTTCCCTTTCAGTCGGCGAACGCACTCGTTTCTGCTTTCTGTTGAAAACACTCTCTCATGACACAACAGATTCACATCTGTCGAAGGGAAAGTGAGAGGAATGAACCTGAATGGAGTGTCACTCAAGCTTTTTTCACTCTTCATTTGAAGACAAGATGAAGATCAGATTGACTTTTTACCAAATAAACATCCCTGTTTCTATAGATAATCCAGCACACGTTATTTGAAGGAAATGTAATCGTCATTGAATTGGATTAGCTTTCTTTTCTGCTAATGTAATAAAGGCCATCTTCAGATTCAAGTTGACTTTATTTTTTAGAGCGATTTTGACATTGAAAAATAAACAAAACGTTATTTTCCAAAAACTAAATGAAAGGGAAGTTATCTTGTGGAAGCCAGCTGTTTTTTTTTTTCTAATTAACTGTGAATATGCCACATTTTTAAGCTTAATTTAAATTTATTCTAAAATGTTTTAAAATATGGTGCTTTATAATATTGCTGTTATCCAGTTTCCAGGTTGATGGTTTTATTAAGTGATGATACTGTAGCACCATCTAATGGTGGAATGAATGATTGATGATTAATGAGTGTTGCTTAGAGGTCTTCTCGGGTCCTAAAATCTGTACCCGACCCGAATCACTTCTTGCCCGAACCCGACGTGCATAAATTATATATATAAAAAAAGAAAAACCCGACCCGAGACAGACCCGATAAAATTAGACCCGAGTCCGACCCGACTACATTTATTTTCGAACCCGACTGGACCCGAACGTAAACAGCATTGACGTGTGCACAGCCTGCAGCCCCGCAGCCAGTCAGGAAAATCCCGGTGTCCTGCTGACTGATTTGGCCGCTTCTCCATTACTTTCTTTTATTTAACATTTATTTAATTTTGTTATTACTTTAGGCTATATTATTGCCTGCCTGATGAATACAAGTTATTTCTGAGTTCGGCTTTTAGTTGTGAGTGTGACCAGTGGATTTGAAAAATAAACGTGATGGTTTGATCATTAAATCGATAGCTTTTCATGGCTAATCTAAAGCATAACTAATGATCATAGCATAATTCATGGCTTCGCCAGTGTTGTCTGCAACCTAATCTCCGGCGAAAGGCTTCTGCACACAAAAAAGAAAAGCCCTGCATGAATACGCAGCGTAATGAAGCGAGTGGAGTTCCCTGATGGATCTCATATCTATAAGATGGATTTCTGTTGGAGAGGTTACAAACGTATGCTCCTTTTCTATGTGCGTTTCTCACTTAACGCGAACGTGCAAGTACACATCCGGGTTAGTTTAAAAGAAATTCGGGTCTTATCGGGTCCATTTGGAAAAAAAAGGACATTTATTTTAAATTACCCGAGGCCGCTAATACCGAACCCGACCCGTGTCCGAGGCACTCCCCTTACGAAAATTAACCATGTTTTTTTTTGTAGTAACCATGGATTTTTGTAGTAAAACCATAGTAACTACAAAATGAACCATGGTTTTACTACAGTAACCATAGTTAAACTATGGTTTTTGTAGTAAAACCATAGTAACTACATAATAAACCATGGTTTAACTATGGTTTTTGTTGTAAAACCATAGTAACTACATAGTAACTACAAAATGAACCATGGTTTAACCATGGTTTTTATAGTAAAACCATAGTAACTACAAAATAAACCATAGTTTTACTACAGTAACCATAGTTAAACTATGGTTACTTTCTACAGTATTAACTACAGATTTAGTTATTTCTTACTCTTAAAAATTAGGGCTCAGTAAAATAATCATAATTAATCTCATGATTTCTGAAAATGAAACCATAATCAAATTTGGCAAATGTGTTGTCAGTTATTACAACAAATAACATTATAAAACTCAGCTTTTATGAAAATAGAAATTTTAGACCCGAACCTGCTCGGGTCTCGGGTCGGACCTCGGGTTTTCGGATCCAAGTGGACCTGTGAAGACCTCTAGTGTTGCTGATTAATGTATTGGTGATTATACACTGAGTGTGCATCGTTTTCTCTGTTTCTCCTCAGATCTTGTTGGAGATGCTGCTTAAAGAACTCTATCCTGAGCTGAGCGTAGAGGCCGTACAGGCCTGAACTTCATCACAGCACATCAGAGGCTCAGGATGTGTTTCTCTAATGAGCTGGATGGCTGTTTTTGGTGTTTCTTTTAGTTTTTTGTTCTGTTGTTTTATTTCTGAAACACTTGACTCTGTAGTGCTGGATCTAGGAAGCGTCATACATATGTTAGTGTTTTAATCCGTTGATGTGTGGGATTGGAGGAACAGGCCAGGTCCACTGCCAGCTGTCATCTTCTGCTTTTCTTTCTCTCTTTTGTTTTCTTCTAGGGGGTTTTACTGTGTAATGTGAATAAGAGTGGAACGAGTGTTACACATGTGTAAAAAGAAGAACCCAGACCACTGTAAACTCTCTACATATTATTGTGACCATTATGAAAGCTTTTAATCGTGCAATATGTCACGTACAGTTATTGTGAAGGTTCTGTTTGTGATATTATTATTAATATTGTTATTATTATAGAATTGTATTTTTACCAAAATAGTCTAGAGCATTTATAAGCAATAAATTGCAAAAGATTTGCCATGTGTCGTGTCTTTAATATAATGCAATATTAAATATATACATTAAAATGTAATTCATATCTTAAACATTAATACAGTTTCAATTGTTTTTATTTATTTCATATCTTAAACGTTAATACAGTTTCTTAGTATCAATTTTTATTTATTTGTTTGTTTTATTCATTAATTCTTCAAAAATATCTTTCTTTATATCTGGTTGGTGAAACTATACCTGTAACAGTTTGGGTGGGTGTTTAAATATATATATATATATATATATATATATATATAAAAAGTAATTCATACCTTTCTTTCTTTCTTTCTTTCTTCAAAAATATCTAAATGGTTATTATCTGTAAATATTTCAAAGACAAAAATAAAAAAAAAGTATCTCATATCTTTTATATTTCATATCAAATTAAATTTCAAATTAAAAAATAAAAAATCTGAAAAAGTAGTCCTATAGTAATGAAGTATTTTAATATGGTTTATTAAAATGTGTTTTTTTTTAAATAGAACATGTTTGAAAACTTTATAGTCATATTTAAGATGTAAGCAAAATCTTTCCAAAAAAAAACAAAACAACTTGAATATGAAGATTGCATTTCTTAGAAGTTGGCACATGCATTTTCAACTAGATTTTTAAAAGATTTTCCTTTGCGTTGTTCATATGTCACTGAAGTAATACTAAACATTTAGATTCATCAGCATCCCAAAAAAAAAAAAAGGATCAAGGATTATAATGACATGACATCTTAGTGCAAAGTGTAGTGAAGTCAGTTTAACAGTCAAATCTGAATCCACTCATCAATTTCAGTGATTAGATTAAATGTGTGATTTATATCCTGCCTTGTACGACGTCCATTTGCAGCTCCTTACAGATTTCCGGATCGATCCTGGCAGCCTGATGGGAGGAAAAACGAGAAATCAAACTAAGGTACCACTGGACCTCCGAATGTCACCCACATCTTCTATTATGCAAGTCCCAAACTCTTCCCACATTGCTTCTCAGTAGCAGTGCGTTTTACAGGTCCAGCAGAAGAACTGGCGAACGGTACCTGTGTGAAGTAGCTCTATGCTCTGTCTCTGTTCTTCAGGACGCCTCGGCCCAGCTGAAGGCAGCGTGCGGAGTAAAACATGGCTATAGCGATGCCCTTCCTGATGAACTCCTCCAGACAGTCTGTGTGCCGCTCTATGGCACTGATGTCCTCGTATCTGCACACTCTGAGATTCACACCAAACCTGTTTTTACTACATAAAACAGAACGGTGTTCTTTACAGTTTCTGAATAATGCACTTTACCTTTCTCCCAGGGCAGCTGCTCTGGAGTAGAGCTTCCTGTGGTAGTAACAGGCCGTCAGGTGACCCTGAGCGTAGACGTTTCCTCTCTCTGCCGCCTCCTTCAGGCAGAACAGGGCAGCGTCTGGGTCCTTCCGCACTCCTTGACCGTACAGATACATGACGCCCAGAGCGCCCTGAGACTCCAGACTGCCACGAGAACACCTGCAGTACATGAACACACGATCAGTTTGACTGAAGACAGAGACATTTTAACATGTGTACATTATATCTCTATATCTCTGGATGATTATTAAAACTTAAAGGGATAGTTCACCCAAAAATGAAAATTCTGTCATCATTTACTCACCCTCAAGTTGTTCCAAACCTGTATGACTTTGTTTTGTTGAACTCAAAAGAAGAAATGTTGAAGAATGTTGGTAACCAAACAGTTGATGGTAGCCACTGACTTTCATAGTATTTAATTTTTTTTTTTCATACTGTGGATCAACTGTTTGGTTAGTTACACACATTCTTCAAAGTATATTTTATGTTCAACATTAGACAGAAACTCTTACAGTTTTGGACTTGAGGGTGAGTAAATTATGACATTTTTGGGTGAACTATCCCTTTAAGAAACAAGATGATGTTGAATTGAAATACCATTCGAAAAGTGTTTTTTTTTTGTTTGTTTTTTTTTGAAAGATGCATTGAATTGACAGTAATGGTCAACGGCAGTTGTTTTAAATATGCTTTAGAAATTTAATTTGTATTTGTAATGACCGTAAATCAAAAGTGGATCCAAAGGATCCTGTGACACTGAAGTCTGGAGTAATGATGCTGAAAATTCAGCTTTGCATCACTGGAATAAATTACATTTTAAAATATTCTCAAAGAGAATACAGATATTTTAAATTGTAATATAATTTTACAATATCACTGTTTTTACTGTATGTTTGATGAAATAAATGCAGCCTTGGTGAGAATAAGAATAAAATCTTATAACTCCAAACTTTTTCTAATGGCAGTGTATATATAATATTTAATGCTTATTAAAAGGTTGATCTATTACAAATAAAAGATAAAAAAACAAAAGATGAAGTATACTAAGTAAAATAGCCTGAAGGTCTGTTCTGAGGTTTGTGGATGCACTGTAGCTGATGTTCTAGTTAGCACCAGATATTTTGGTCTATGCATTATGGATTTTTCCTAACAATATGTAGCAAGACGGAAAAAATAGGAAGAAAAAGTTTCTTCAAACAACTATAAATAGGTGAAATTTATTATAATCTTATATTTTTTTATAATTCATATTTATTACTAAATTAGTGAATGTATTTTTAATTGAATGACTGTATTATATAATCTTATTATAATTATTTACATTTATTATAAACGATTTATTTACAAGCTTGTTAGCAACTGTTAGAACAAAACATGAAAGTCTCTTCTAGTAATGCTACAGCAACCACAGACCTTATTATACTCATAAATCACAAACCATATGAACAAATTCAGTACTGCTTTGACAATGAGATAACACTTTACAAATAGCTTTCCTTTGTAAACAATATTTAACTACATTAGTTAACATTATCAATGAACAATAATTCTGCAGCATTTATTCATCTTAGTAAATGTTAATTTCAACATTTACTAATACAGTTTTAAGATCATTGTATATGTTAACATTAATTACTGCACTGTGAACATTTTTATAAATTGGAAACATTAACACAGGTTAATAAATGCTGTGAAAATATATTGCTCATTGTTCATGTTAGGTAATGCATAAATGATAACAAATGAGATCTTATTGTAAAGTGTTACTGAGATATTAATAGTATACTAAAGGAAATCTCAGCTGCTTTTGCATACATTATGGAAATTTGTAACATTATATAAAGCATTATATGCTATTAATGATGATCTATTTACTGTATATGTGAGAGATATCATAATAATAACAATATGGTCCTCACAAGGTCCTCTTTGGTTCCAAGGCCAACGTAATATATGACAGCCAGCTGATACAGAGCTCGAGGATCTTCAGCTTTAATGCCATCAAAGAGGATCTCTGCTTCTGCTTAGCGGTCCTGCAGAACACCAGAGTATTCCTGAGAGGTGTAACTATTATGCATCAATATACTGTTTGTCTGTGACGCTGAAAGCAAATTCTCACATGATTCTGTCTTTGCATGTTGAAACAGAATAAATAAGAGAGAGTTTAAGGCATCAGTCACCTCCTCGTAGTGTAACTGTCCCAGAAGGAAGGCGGCTTGTGTATCTCCTCTTTCTGCTTTCTCTTTAAGCAGAATCACTGTCCTCTCCACTAGTCAGAACTAGTCTCTGCTTTGGAATATATATATATATATATATATATATATATATATATATATACACACACACACACACACACAC